TTGTCTTTTTGAGACAGGCTCTCGCCACACAGTTCACACTGGCCTTGAGCTCACTTTGTAGCCCAGGCTCCTCTTCAACTCACAAGGATCCTCCTGCCTCAGCTTCCCAAGTATGGGGATTACAGGCATGTGCCACCATGCCCAGCTGTTTGTTCTTTAAAAGTGGAAAAAAAAAAAAGAATACAAAATTGTATATAGGGTATGATCACACACACAAAAATGTTTAAAGAACTATACATAGAAGGCTAAAAGGGGGAGCCGGGCATGGTGGCACACACCTGTAATCCCAGCACTCGGGAACTGAGGCAGGAGGATTGTTTCGAGTTCAAGACTAGCCTGGGCTACAAAGTGAGCTCAAGGCCAGTCTGAACTGCACAGCGAGACCCTGTCTCGAAAAAACTAAAATGAAGTACACCAAAATGTTGTTTTTGTCTTTGGGAGTTAAGAGTATAAAGGGATTTTTAAAATTTTCTATTACTTTGGATCTTCAAATTTTTCTGAGTATCATGCAAAAAATAAGCGATATTTTTAAAAACCAGCTAAGCATTACACAGGCATTGAAGATAATTTACCTTAATAAGCACATATCTAAGACTATTATATATATGAAACATAGTTTTATCCAAGTAATACAATGAGTGCTCCCCCACCACCACCGGTACCGGGAACTGAACTCACGACCTTGCGCTTGCCAGGCAGGCGCTGTGCCACTGAGCTAAATCCCCAGCCCCACAATGAACATTCCTTTAAATGTAGATCTCAGGAGCTGGGGGGTAGCTCAGTGATGGAATACTTGTCTAGCGCCTGCAAGGGCCTGGGTTTAACCCCCAGCAGAACAAAAAATTTTTAAAAACCTAAATAGTTAAAGTGTCCCAGAAAAGCAGAGAGAGACTGTACTGAACAGGGAGCCACAGAACTAGAGAGACAGCCAGAGGGTCTGAAAACAGCGGTAAATCCCTCAGTCTGCACAGAGGCTCAGGGCTCCCTTTCTAGCCACTGTCCTCAGGCCTCAGTCTTGAGGGGGGGGCTGCAAATCTGGAGCTGAAACCTGGAGTTGACCTTGATCCTCATGGACTCCTCCAGGACTCTAGCTGCCCTTTATCCCTAAGCACTGAAGGGCCAGCAGCAAACAACAGCTGAGCTGGAGCCTGGTGGGATTATGCTGGGCCCCAGTAAGGTCTGCCTGTCTGTCTCGCTCTCCCCCTCCCCTCCTTCCCTCCCCTCCCCCTCCTCCTGCATTTGGCTGGGGAGCTGCAGCTCTGCTCAGTGGATGAACCTCAAAATAGCCTTAGTGTGCCAAGAGCAGTAAGGACACTAACACCCGTAAGAGTTCCCTCTGGAGGACGGACTTATCAGAATGTGGTGAGCTTTTGGGAAACAGGCATCTAGGAGGTGGCAGGAGGCACTTTTCAAACTACGGGATCTGGCAAGAGCCAAGACTCAGAATTAAAGTCGGAAGATAACTGGGGAATCATAGGACAAGCTGGTCTGGCCTAGGCTGCTGTCCAGTGTGAGGCAGCCGTGAATGCCAAAATTAGAAGCTGGGTGTCCACTGTAAACAGAACAAGTAACGGTCTTGAGTCAGGGAGGTGCTAGAGGGAGGCAGCAACTCTGGTGGCTCGGGGAGGGGAGCCATAGAGGTAAGGTTGCTGGAGGGCCTGGCCAGGTATGGGAGCCAGCAGGAGGGGAGGGTTCAGTTTGGTGTCACGGACGTGATGGAACCATAAGAAAGTCAGGGAAGCTGGGCCCAGTGGCGCACGCCTATAATCCCAGCACTCAGGAGGCTGAGGCAGGGAGATCCTTGTGAGTTCAAGACCAGCCTGGGCTAGAAAATGAGCTCAAGGACATCCTGAACTGCATAGCGAGACCTTGTCTCAAAAAGACAAAAAAAAAAAAAAAAAAAAAAAAAAAAAAAAAAAAAAAAGAAGAAGAAAAGTCAGGGAAGAAATTCTGAGGGAGGGGACAGAAATGACCTGATCAGCACCCCCACCAGGGCACCTCCAAGGCCCCTCAGAAGATTTGAACTATGTAGCTCAGGGCTCAGGCTGGCCTTGAGCTTGTGATAATTCTCCTGCCTCAGCCTCCCAGGTGCTGAGAGTACAGGCATGCACCACCACGCCCAGACTCTCAGAACATTTGGAAAATCTCTAGTTTGGTCAGAGATGGTGTCAGTGCCTGAACTGGAACCTGAGTCTCTGGCCTAGAAGAGTGTGCCAGGCTGGGCTGAGGAAACAGCTGGCCATGGAGCAGCGGCTTGGACTCTGAGGACCTGGCTATCGTGGTGCAGCTCAGCATCTCCACCTGAGGGGCTGAAGGGAACACAAGGAAACAGGTGGCTGATGCTCTGGGGGATAGAAGGCAAGCAACTTGGGGAGCAGCGGAGGTTTCCCTTGCCTAGCATTTGTGTCCCTGAGCTATGCTTTTGAGAGTAGGAACATTTATTGGAGAAAAGGAATGGGGAACAGGAATGGGGGAATGGGGATACGAATGGCTTCTGAGAGACAGGAGTCCCGAATGGGTCGCCCTCAGCTATGCGCCTACACACACACACACACACACACACACACACACACACACCCCTGTAGCTGCCCAGTGGACTGGGATGGGTGTGAGTGCCCACCTGGCCCAGCAGTTGTCTAGCAGATGTCCCAGGTGTCCCCTAGAAACCCTCTACAGGAACAACCTCTACATGCCCAACTCTAGAGTTTGAAGGTACTCTTACAACCACTCAGCAATAATCTCACCTGAGATATTACCTGCTTTCTAAGGGCCAGAGCTTCCTGAAATGATAGGTTTTTGTTTTGTTTTTCTCCAATGTGTTAACATTCCTCCCACATCCAATTCCAGGTTACGTTCTCTGATCCCTACTCCTCGCCATTCTTCTCCTAATGAAGCCCCCACGTCCAGGGCTGCTAGGACCAAATCTGTATTGACACTATTCACAGCCAGCGTCCTGGCCTTCACTAGGTCCCCAGGTGTCAAGGCTGAGGTCTGGTTCTGCCAACCCAGGGCTGGTGGTTGGGGTTTAAGGGTGCGTGGGGCTCCCCCGTGTGTGTTTGGGGGCGGTGTCCCCCAACCTGAAACCTTGGGCCCTGTGAACTGTCAGAGGGATCACAGCAGAAACCTTAGAGGCCTTGAGATTGCCCCAGAGCCCAGCACCTTGCTCTGGAAAGGAGGGAGAGGGGAGGGGCCCCACCCACCTGGTGAGGTCATGGGAAAGCAGCTCTGGCGCTGACACCTGGGGAAACCCGTTTCCAGGCTGCTTCCCACGCTGGCTGTCCTGGGAACCAGCTAAGCCAAGCCCCATGCGGGGAGCCCCACACCCCCCCAAGTCCTGTTCCCATCACACTGTCCCATCTGATCCAGCCCCACCCTTCAACCTAGCCTGAGTCCTTTGCTACCCAGTGGTCCATCCAGGCTGTTGGGGTCAAGGAGGGTTATGGGGAGCAGCAGGCTGACTGACCATGCCAGGAAATGACAGAAACAGCAGCTTCAGAAATGGAAGGTTTTATTTGCAGGCTGTGCTGCTTTACCTTCTAGGGTTCCTGCAACCTTGACCTTGGGGAAAGGGATGACCCCCACCCCTTCCTCCTCCAGGCTCTAATTTGCAGCTCCTCCCCCTCCCTTTGCTGGGGTTGACTCTCACTTCCTGCCCCACTGCTGGCCTAGCCAGTTTGGGCAGTGCCTAGGGAGTCCTGAGACCCAGTTCTTCCCAGGGCTCAGCCCCGCCCTCCCTGGCCTCGGGAGGTGAGGGCAGCCCAGGTGTCAGCCTGCTCCACAGCTGCTCCACCTGTCCCTCTCTCCTTGTCTTCCTCCTTCTAGGCCCAGCCCTCTGATCTGCCTCCTGTCCCACAGCTCCCAGCCTCGATGTCTGCTCCTCTCTCAGTCTCTCGCTGGCCTTGTCTTACCCACTCCATCCCAAACTTCTCACCAAATCAAGGCTGATCACCTTCCAGCGCCCCCAGGTGACCTGCGGTTCCCCAGGCTCACCCTTACGAAGGGGGCTGAAGACCACCACCAGGCATCCTAATTCAGCGGGGCTGACCTAAGAAACTGGGAACTGGATCCCAAACTGCTTGGAGATGGCTGACACTGTTAATTAAGACCATCCCATGAAAATCAAAAGTGCTGGTTTTCTCTGTGAGCCAAAGAAACCTAAACCAGAGCCTTCCCTCTTCCAGGCCCAGGCGCATCCTGGCTTATCAGAGGAGGCAGTCAGAAGCCCATGTGCCCAGGGTTCAGTAGGGAACTGAGTCCCATGGGGTGGCCAGGCCCTGCCAGTAACCCCCTCGAAGGCCCCATGCCCCAGGTTCCGGGAGTCTCTGGCCTCCTGGCTACCACTCGCTTGCCATGCTGCCCCAGCTGCTCACACAAAGCAGAAAAACTTCTTCCAGCGACAGCGGGAGAGGGTGCGCACTCCTTTGGCATTCAGTTTCTTCTCCAGCCGGGCTTTGTGCTCGATAGCACTGAGAATGGCAGAGTCAAACACCTCTTTCAAGTTCTTCTGCGTCAAGGCCGAGCATTCGAGGTAGCAGCAGGCCCGGATCTTCTCAGCCAGACCTTGGGCTTGGGGCTGGGGCACCGGGCCCTCCCGGCCACCCTGATCCAGCTGAATCAGTACGTTGACGTCATCCCTCAGGTCGGCCTGGGTGCCCACAAGCAGCACGGGTGCCTGCGGGTTGTGAGTGCGGATCTCGGGCAGCCACTTCTCGGTGATGTTCTGGAAGGAGCTGGGCTGCACCACACTGAAGCACGCCAGGAAGACATCGGTGTCCGGGTAGCAGAGAGACCGAAGTCGGTCAAAGTCCTCCTGGGATGGCAAGGCCAGGGAGTTAGCAGGGTTATTCATTCCCAGCCACATGGAGCAGAATCTGCTTCTAGCTTGAACCCCAAGCCCGAGATTCCTGGAGCCCAAGGCCTTCTCCATTTCAGCACGATGGAGGGCCTCCCCGTCCCCTCCTGCGCCCCCCGGCCCTGGCCCGGCAAGGATCACGCGAGTCTTCTCACCTGTCCGGCCGTGTCCCAAAGCTCAATGCGCACCGGGGCTCCATCCACCAGGACTTGCACTGCAGGGCGGGGCAGGAGACCCCGAGTGAGGCGGCGTTGCGGGCCCCAGCAGCGCCACCACGGGGCGCGCTCCCGCTTCCTCCCGGGGTCCCTCTCGACCCCCACCCCGACACCAGCCTGCAGCCCCACCCCAGCGTGCGGCGCGGGCCGACCTACCCGAGAAGGTGTCGAGCGCCGTGGGCCGGTAGCGCGCAGGATACCCGTTGCAGGTGTAGCTGACGATGAGGCTGCTCTTGCCCACTGCGCCGTCGCCCACCAGCACGCACTTGATGCCCAGCTCCGGGGTTGCGCTGCGCCGCCGAGGAGTGGGGCTCGGGGCGCGCAAAGGGGGCGGCTCGTCCTCGCTCAGCTCCCGCGGCGGCATGGCCCGCGTCCGGGGCAGCAGAGGGGCCAGCCCGGCCCGGGGTCGGCGGCGCTCGGGGACCAGGTTCCGCTGGCTGCCGCTGCCGGTCTGCTCCGGCAGGGCTCGCCAGCCCGACGCGCCCCGCGGGTTTATATAGGGTCCCGCCCACCTTATCTGCATGTCCCGAGCGGCCCCGGCCCCGCCCACCAGCCGGTCCTCCCTGGCGGCCAGGCCACTGCAAAGCGCAGAGAGGAAAAAAAGGGAGACCGAAAGCTGATCCTCAGAGCGCCGCGCAGGTCCGAGGACAAAGAATAGCCAAATGGAGGTATCGGTAGAGACAGACGTCCATGATGTATTGTCAGGAGGAAGAAGCGAGTTGCAGAAGACAATACAACCCATTCAGATTAAACGTGTTCAAATTAAACCTTTCACACACTGAAACAAAAACCCTGTACATATATGTTTGCATGAGCAGCAGAGTCGGGATAGTCATTTTATTAATAAAAGAATGATCTATAAATATTTACCAGCCCCTGTAGAGGGCCGGGGATGTGCTCGGTGGAAGAGCACTTGCTTAGCACGCATGAGGCCCTGGGTTACAGCCCCAGCCCGGCAACCCATCGGTCAATCAATAAATCAGTAACAGAGATGAGGGACACTGAGAAACTCGAGCTTGAGCTCAGCAGGCAGAAGTGCTCGGTTTCCCTTTAGGCTGAGCTTGCTGCAGGCTCAGTCTCAAGACAGGCTCTGAATGCCTTCCCCTCTGCAAAAGGAACTCTGAGGTGCTGAGAACGTTGCTGGGGAAGCTCTTCGAGCATGATTCCCCATTGGAATATTTTTTAAAACCCTCACATAGCCTAATAATACCTTCCTTATCATTCAGAACACACAATGATTACCCAGTTTCTATGCTCTTCTGAGCCGCCCATTGCCCTTGTCCTAGAAGGAGTTTGCAGACTGAGGCTGGTTGCCCCCGGGAGCCCTCAGAGGTTACCTTCGAAGCACGTTAAGAGTAGTAGCTTGAGCCGGGCGTGGTGGTGGTGCATGCCTGTAATCCCAGCATTCGGAGGCTGAGGCAGGAGGATCCTTGCGAGTTCAAGACCAGCCTGGACTACAAAGTGAGCTCACGGCCAGCCTGAACTGCACAGCGAGACCCTGTCTCAAAAAGACCAACAAAACAAAAAAAAACAAAAAAGAGTAGTAGCCGGGCCTGCTCACTTTGCAGGCACAGAGGGCTGTGGGGAGTCCCTTAGCACCCACCAGGGAGAGCCCAGAGGGCTCAGTGTCCAAAGTGCTGCTGACTGCAGTCTACAGGAGGTACGTGGTAAGTTGTTCAACTCCAAGCCTAATTCCTGAAAAACCCCTGCTCTTTAACAGTTGCGATAGAGAGGAGTCCATTACTAGACCAAGTTCAGGACTTTCTCCCACACAAGGCCCAGACAAATGCCAAACTGAGAAATAGAATCTCCTCCTCCTGCTCATTTCAATATTAAAAGTAATGATGAGATCCTTGGCAAAGTTATACGAGTTCAACGTGGGAAAATCAAACTAGAAGTTGTTTTTTGGGGGTTTGTTTGTTTTTTTGAGACAAGGTCTCACTATGTAGTTCAGGATATCTTTGAATTCACTATATAGTCCAGGCAGGCCTTGAACTCTCAGCAACCCTCCTGCCTCAGCCTCCTGGGTGCTGGGATTGCAGGCGTGGGCCACCAGGCCCAGCTAAGACAGAAGTTTTCAATGGTCCAAAAACTAAAAATAAGGAACAGTGAAACAAATGACCTAAAAAGAAACAGGTGAAACATACCTGCTAAATCTGTGCAAGAGAATGAGATCCTGGGTGTTTTGCCTTGCTGGTACCTTGCTGGTACCTACAGTGCTCTTATGTGTTGAAAGAAAAACTTTAGACAAAGGTAACTGGTCGAGCAAAGAACAATTTATGAGTCAGATAGCACTCAAAATGGAAAGGGGTCAGAGAGCTCCACTTTGTAGCCGAACCCAGAAATGAAGTACAGAAATAATTTGATTGGTAACGGTGAGGCCTTTGCCTTGCGTGGACATGATCTGATCTTTGGGGGCCTGGGATTGGCTGGAGTTCAGCTGTTTATGTTTGGCTGAAACCCAACTATTTGTCACCAAAATGCATTCCTATTTCAGCTGTTAAAGACCTTTTCTTTGTGAGTCAAGCTGTGCCCTATGTCTATACTGTACTTCCTTCTCTAAGTTTTGCACAGTAGGGTCACACTAATTATCAAAAAGTCATTTCAAAATAGTTAGAAGATTTTGAATGTTTCACAAGGAAATGACAAATGTTTCAAGTGAGATATATATATATATATATACATATATATATATATATTTTTTTTTTTTTCTTTTTCCGGTACTGGGAATCGAACTCACGACCTTGCTCTTGCCAGGCAGGCGCTGTGCTGCTGAGCTAAATCCCCAGCCCCCTCAAGTGATAGATATATTAATTGCCCTTATAGGATCATTACACAGTGTCTTTTATTGGAACTAGAAATCAATCTCAGGACCTCTCGCTTGCCGGGCAGTCACTTGCTGCTGAGCTACATCCCTGGCCCATGACACAGTGTTTATAGGTATCAAGTCAACACATCATAGACCATAAACTTGTACAATTATGTATCAATGTAACTAAATAAAAAGAAAAAAATATGCTCCTTAAAAAAAAGAAAAAAAGAAGCAGGTGTGGTAGGGAACACCTGTAATCCCAGCACTTGGGAAGCTGAGGCTTGGGGATCATTGTGAGTTCGAGAACAGCCTGGGCTACAAAGTGAGCTCAAGGCCAGCCTGAACTGCATAGTGAGACCCTGTCTCAAAAAGACTAACAAAACAAAAAAGAGTAGTAGCCTGATGCTAACTTCCTCAGGTCTACCTCCTGTACCCCTATATCCATGTCTGGGGATACTCATAATCCTAATTATAGCTGCAGAGCCCCCAAAACTTCTCTTTTTTTTATTTTTTATTTTTTCTGGTGCTAAGGATTGAACTCACGACCTTGCACTTGCTGGGCAGGTACTGTGCCACTGAGCTAAATCCCCAGCCCCCTCCAAAACTTCTCAGATACATCCACATAAGTTTATCCATCTAGTGCCTGGTGTGGTGGCACACACCTGTAATCCCAGTATTTGGGAGGCTGAAGCAGGAAGATTGCTGTGAGTTTGAGACCAGCGTAGGCTACACAGTGAATTCAAGACTAGCGGACCCTATTAAAAAAAAAAAGTTTATCCACCTACCAAATGAAAGAGGTCTTAGAGGCCTGAAGTGTTTTCCTACTACTGTGTTCCCATAAAAAAAAAAAAAAAAAAAAAAAGTTCTTTTTGCTCTCCTGGGAAGAGGGGGATTTTAAAAGACCAGGAGAACAAAAGACAGCCCAGTGTTCCCAGTTCTTTGACTGTGTGACTCCTATAAAATCATTTCACCAGTTTCAGTGCTGTAAAATGATAGGTAGAGCATGTTTATCTCTAAGAGGTCTCCTGGTGCTAGCAATCTTTGATTCAGGGGTCCTGAGGAAGGTGCCCTGGCCCAGGTATCTGGGCCAAAATTACTACACACACACACACACACACACACACACACACACACACACAAGCAAACACAAACACATGCATACCCATGCTCTCTTCTTTACAATGTTCTTGTCCTTATACCTGGGTCTTAATAATAGCTTTGTTGTAGCTGTAAATTTGAGGGTAATCCCGTTTAACCCCCCTGCAGGTAGAGGGGCACACATAAATAACACACCAAAGCAGAGATGCTGGCTGGGCATAGGTTAGAACCCGAGACAGGCCATTCTTCTCTGGCCTCGTGGGTGGGGACACTTTCTGACCTAGGTCCCTCTGTCTGAGCTGGTTTAGGTACAGTCTTGTCAGCAGTAGGGGGAGGGAGGAGACAACCTGGAGAGCGGGTGAGTCACTGTTTCTCAGCTGCGGAGTTGCAAATCTGGCTGCAGCTGCTGGGAAAGTCCTCTCTGAAAGGCAGGTTGGGTCTTATTGGTGCCCACCTGCCAGATCTGCCCCAATTTCCGGACATACATTTGCCGGGATTAAAACTTGGCCTTGACACTTTTCTGTAGAGAAATGACAGATTTTAGGACTGGGGCAGGAAATGCTCAAGATGAGCCTGGAGCAGTTTGTTTACAGAAAGTAGGGAAGTGTTAAAGAAACAAAAACAGTAGGCAGATACAGGCACTTCATATGCACACAGAAACTGACTGAGAAAGCTCCTGGCCAGGCATGGTGGCGCATGCCTGTAATCCCAGCTCTAGGGAGGCTGAAGCAGGAGGATTGCTGTTAGTTTGAGATCTGGGCTACATATTGAGTTCAAGGCCAGCCTGAACTGCATAGTGAGACCCTGTCTCAAAAAGACAAAAAAAAGGGCTGGGGATTTAGCTCAGTGGCACAGCGCCTGCCTGGCAAGC